AAAAAAAATAAAATTTTTTCTTTTTTAGAAATGGTGTGTTGTTATATTGCCCAGGTTGGAGTGCAGTGGCTATTCACAGACTCAATCCTGGCCCACGACAGCTTGCCTTGAACTGCTGGGCTCAAGCAATCCTTCTGCCTCAGTCTTCCAAGTAGCTGGGACTAAAGGCACATGCTCCTATACCTGGCTTCATGCAGTTCTAAGATACTAATACATCAACAGAAGACTGTACATATACCTTTTTATTCTCTCCAAGAGCAGGTAGTTGAACTCCATTCACCAGGAGATTAGTCAGCTGTTCTGACACAAAATCCTTTCTCATGTGGACATTAATAAAACCTAATGGACAGTAGAAGAAAAAAATATCAGATAGTCTCTTATCTTAAATGAATGCTCACGCCCCAGGATTTGCTGCAGATACTGATCTGGCTCTGGTAAGTTCTCCAGCATTCCAGTATCACTTGAGACCTTGACTTGAGCCCTCGCACAAGCTCCTGTCTCAGCATCTATTTCAAGCCTTCATCACCCTCCTGAAAGTTTCCTATTTAATTCAAGGCCCTTTCACTTTCAGCAAACAATTTGTTCGCTTCTTCAAACACAGGGCCCTTTCACCACAGACTTATCTGACATTATCTATTCTCTTTTTGCTTATGAGAAACTGAATCAGGCTGGACGCAGTGGCTCACGCCTGTAATCCTAGTAACTCTGGGGGGCCGAGGCGGGTGGATTGCTCAAGGTCAGGAGTTTGAAACCAATCTGAGTAAGAGTGAGACCCCGTCTCTACTAAAAATAGAAAGAAATCAATTGGCCAACTAAACCTATATATAGAAAAAATTAGCTGGGCATGGTGGCACATGCCTGTAGTCCCAGTTACTCAGGAGGCTGAGGCAGGAGGATCCCTTGAGCCCAGGAGTTTGAGATTGCTGTGAGCTAGGCTGACGCCATGGCACTCTAGCCTGGGTGACAAAGTGAGACTGTCTCAAAAAAACAAACCACAGGGAGACAAAGTAATTCATTCAAGATCAGGTAGCTAACCCTGTATTTAAAATGGTTATTTTTTTAATTATTATTATTACAAAAGGACCCATTATCAATACAACTATTAAGAAGGATAATATTATGTCATACCAGGACCAGCAATTTCAACTTTTTCAATACATTCACTGTCTGGGAGATGTTTGGTAATGTTTTCGGCAATTTCTCTTGGATTAACTTTCTGTTCCTTGGCTTTGAACATCTCTAACACAATATAAAATGATTCATTACACAGCAGGTTTCAGCAAGTTCAGAAACACTCAACCGACAAAGCAAGAGATGCATTTCACATAAGACCCAACAAAAGGCAGAAGCAGAGAAGTCCAACCACCTTTTGAACGGACAGATTAAAGCATCAATAGTGCCAAGAAGAATAGAAAAGTGCCAAACCACATGATCTCTATTTCCAAATGAGTTGTATACACATACCTACATTTTTAATGAAGAGGTAATAATATCCATCATACTACATTCTCAATTTCATTTTCATTATGAAAGTACATATTTAGACTTGAGAAAAACACTCTTATTGAAAAAGATCTTGAGTAACCCTTTCCTACTCAGCAAAGAAAGAAAAGTAAAAAGATCCAAGCCAGGTACAGTTATCAACAAACACATTATACAATGTAGCTAATAAAAATGAGAAATTCCTCTGCTTCAAAATAAAATCTGTAAGCCTGCCTCAAAGACACTACAGGTACATCAAATGTTTGATGGGAATGATGGTTGGTAAACGCCTAACTTTTAATTTCTCCCCTTCCAACATTCATTAACACCACACAGCAATCATGGACACAGCAGGAAGAAAGTACCAAAACAAAATATGCCCTTCAATATTGAGAATACAGGCCAGGTGTGGTGGCTCACGCCTGTAATCTTAGCACTCTGGGACGCCGAGGTAGGCAGATTGCTCAGGGTCAGGAGTTTGAGACCAGCTTGAGCAAGAGCGAGACCCCCGTCTCTACTAAAAACAGAAAGAATTAATTGGCCAACTAAAAAATATATAGAAAAATTAGCCAGGCATGGTGGCACATGCTAATAGTCCTAGCTACTCTTGAGGCTGAGGCAGAAGGATTGCTTGAGCCCAGGAGTTTGAGGTTGCTGTGAGCTAGGCTGACGCCATGGCACTCTATCCAGGGCAACAGACTAAGACTCTTGACTGAAAAAAAAAGGAATACATATAAAATGTAACCAAAAATTAAAACCTGTGCTTTTCAAAAAACGTAAAATATACATCATTCTTTCTCAAGTTTTTCAAACTGTCTTTTCATTACAGATATAACAATGTGCTATTATTTATGTAAATAGTGATGACAATACTTAATAAAATCAAACAGCCAAGACCGAGTCGTAATAATACACTACCTGAGAAATACCCATAGCACTGTTACATTGATAGTCCCCAAACTTGGGCTGCTGACTTGGTGTCACTATCAGAGGAGGATTTTCCAAATCTGGATATGCAGCCTTAATGGCACAACCAAAGACTTCTTGTAGGCGGCTATTGATGTTAATCATATTTTTCGTTGGTCTGTTCCTCTCTGCCTGAAGACTCTGCAGGAAAAGAATGGAAATATGTCAATAAGGTACTACATCATATAAAATTCCCTCAAATATTTTGTGAAACCTTCAAATATCTTGACAAGAACCAAAAGGAAACATGCATTTATAGTGTAATGTTCTTATATCTGGGATTTGCTGAGACACGTAGTAGGACGATGTCCCATGGCATCTAAGACATCTGTGGGAAATGCCCTATGGTCTTATACTTTTGTACATTTGTTTTAGCAGAACAGAAACTGGGAGGGAGTAAAAAGAACTGACTGAATCCTCAGCTCTGAGAAAAGAGTATAAACTCAATACTAAATACCTTCACATCAAATACTAGAAGTAAAAACTCAAGGGACAAAAAACAAATAAAAATGTATTCTATCAATCAAAATGTTGACCTCTTCAGCCGGGCACAGTGGCTCATGCCTGTAATCCAAGCACTCTGGGAGGCTGAGGCGGGTAGATCGTTTGAGCTCAGGAGTTCGAGACCAGTATGAACAAGAATGAGACTCTGTCTCTAGTAAAAATATAAAGAAATTATCTGGACAACTAAAAATATATACAGAAAAAAATTAGCTGGGCATGATGGCTTATGCCAGTAGTCCCAGCTACTTGGGAGGCTGAGGCAGCAGGATTGCTTGAGCCTAAGAGTTTGAGGTTGCTGTGAGCTAGGCTGATGCCACGGCACTCTAGCTGGGGCAACAGAGTGAGACTCCGTCTCAAAAGAAAAAAAAAAAAGTTGACTTCTTCAAGGCATGAAATTAAAGGGAACAAAATAGATAATATTAATATGCCAGAAAAATAAGTAGTTCTGTCTGTTTATCCCATATTAGACCCACTCCTACCTCTCTTACATCCTATTTCTCATTTTCTATGAAGTGAAATATATTCATTGAAAATGGCATATAGTTACTACTATTACTGTGCTTGTCATACCTTCACAGAATTATCTGTCTCTACCACAAGATCGTTGCATGCATGCTAAGTATCTAATTCCTGGCTCTCTCCCTGGCACCTAGCATTGTACCTGCCATATAGTGGGTTATCAAAAAATTTTCAAACACATACACTTTTAAGAGAATACAAATAATATGGTGCCTGTGCACTAATCACAATTTTATGTTAGTCAAAATGTCAAGGCCAGGCGAGGTGGCTCACTCCTGTAATCCTAGCTCTCTGGGAGGCTCAGGCAGACGGATTGCTCAAGGTCAGGAGTTCGAAACCAGCCTGAGTAAGAGCGAGACCCCGTCTCTACTATAAATAGAAAGAAATCAACTGGACAACTAAAAATACATAGAAAAAATTGGCATGGTGCGCATGCCTGTAGTCCCAGCTACTCGAGAGGCTGAGGCAGGAGGATCGCTTGAGCCCAGGAGTTTGGGTTGCTGTGAGCTAGGCTTACGACACGGCACTCTAGCCCAGGCAACAGAGTGAGACTCTGTCTCAAAACAAACAAACAAACAAACCCAATGTGCCTTCCATATTACACTGGCAGTATTTTCTGATCTACACATGAGAGCTAATTTGCATTACAGAAACGTGTATTAGAATACACTGTATTTTCTTTCAGGAGTTCGAAAAAAAGAATACACTGTATTTCCTTTAGTTTCTTTTTCCTTAATAGTCTCTAGTACTTAGTCATTTAATACTTTTGAATTAAAATAAATACACAGAATTAAGTATGACTAAGTGCTGAATCCATGACATACCCAGAAAAGTGAAATTCTTTTCAGAAGATTCCATGGACATGGAATTTTGTGATTTTAGAAGACTCAAAGACAAAGCTCTTTCAAGCACAGCAGATTACAAGTAATAAAAAAGACTTCGTGGGAGTGGGTAGATAGGGTCTAGGATGAGTAAATGAAGTCAGTTTTGAGAAAAAAATGTAATGCCAGTGCAGTCTGCCTAATAGTAGTATATACAAACAGGAGAGTAATTACGAGAATGAGGTCACACTTTGGGATATGTCATTAGCAAACATGAAAGACACGCCAAAAAATTGAAGCAAGCTCATTATTTGACAAATCTGATAAATAGGCCAGGCGAGGTAGCTCACACCTGTAATCCAAGGCTGGGGCGGGAGGATCTTTTGAGCTCAGGGGTTTGAGACCAGCCTAAGCAAGAGCAAGACTAAGACTGACCCATCTCTACTAAATATAGACCGAAATTAGTTGGACAACTAAAAGTACATAGAAAAAATTATCCGGGCATGGTGGCCCATGCCTGTAGTCCTCTCAGAGCAGTAAACAACTTGCCAATTTACTTAACCAACTTGTACTTTGTGATTGCTGACTTAACATAAAGCAGTTCCCGTAACAGGATACTATTAATTATTTTCTTGTCGCTC